AATGACATAATGCCAAACCAAATCCAATGACACTGTGTAGCAGATACTTGAAATGTAACAGTCTTCTACAGCTCACTAAAAGCATGCAATGAAAGTTTTACTGGTAGACCAATTAATCTTCCTCGATGCTTCTCTTTACCTTTTTTATTATAGCAAAAAAACTAATCTTCAGCATCATTTCGTGTATATATATATACGGCGATGGCCATTGATAATGGTTAAATTTTCCTTCTTAATAAAACAAAGACGGGATGAGCTATTGTAATGATACATAGAAATGCATAGCATGAGTGGCAACCGAATCTACAATGCCAAATACGACAATGCACAATGACAAACATATCACTAGCTACATAATGACAAACTTGTTCCTATTAAATGTCAAAAACAAAAAAAACAATTTAGTTCAATTATTGTAAAATCAAAATTTTATGAGTAGAAATCAAGGTGTCCCAATCGTATCTCTAGCTTTTACTAATATACTTCCTAACATTTTGCAAACCCCCATGAAAAAGAACAAGTGGAAGCTCTGATTCATTTTTAATATGTGAAAAAGACCAATTGGAGAGATTAGGATGGACAAGCGAATCATGCGGCACGGCTAGGACACGTGTTAGAATGTGTAGAAGGAGAGAGAAAAAGGAGCATAATAGTGTTTGATCCGAAAGGGGTGAAAGCCCGGTTTGATAGAGATTAGAATAATTACTCCTATTTAGGGGAGTTTAAGGGCCTGTTTGGGAATAGCGTTAGCGATTAGCGTTAGCGTTTTGGATAAAATTTTAACGGTGCAGATTAATTTGAAAACGCTAACGCTAAACGCTGCCCGTAGATAGCCTTTTGAAAACGCTAACACCAATCGCTAACGCTATTCCCAAACAGGCCCTAAGTTTGAGATCCTATTTTGGGATAAGACCTAAGTAGGACTAAAACATTGAAAATATACTAAAATAGGACTTCCATGTTTTTATTGCCGAAATAGGACTTACAATACCAAACATGGTCATATACATTACCAAGAAAGTATAGTGATTTGCACATGTACATTGCCACATTACCACAATGCAAAGTCACATTACCACAATGCAAAGTCCTATTCCGGGAAAAAACATGAAAGTCATATTTTAGTACTTTTCTCTATGTTTTAGTTCTATTTATGATGATTTTTATAGTGAAAAAAACTTGACATTCTATGTTGACAATCTTGACATTTCACTTTCTTTTTGACATTTTATATTGACATGTTTGGCATTATGCAATGACATGATTGTCAGTATGTATTATAATCTTTGACATTGTGACTTTGGTTGGCATTATATTGAAAGTTTTTTTCCTTGGCGGTGACAACATTATAATGCCAACCGAAGCCACAATGTCAAAGATAACAATGCATACGAACAAACATGTCAATGCATATATAATCTCAAATATGTAAGTGTATAGTTTCACATTACCAAATCACTAATCAAGTAGTATTGAAGTAAAAATTGGCGAGCATACCCGGAACTTCCTCAGTCTAAGGATTAAACCCAGACGAACAAACCCTCATTGATGAAATCAAATGAACTCTCACTTCCGATTTCCCAATTCAACAAACAACAAATCTCAACAACTTGATCAGGAAGAAATCAAATCAAATCATATCAAAACAATTGCAGAGCCAGTTGAGCAATAATATAACCCCACACTCCTCGCCCAAAGCAGCAAGCTCAAACAGCATAAACACATTACAGTATTATTCATATCAATCAAAAGAACTTCTAGAATGCTTCACTATATGTGCTCCAGACACCCTAAAATCAATCGAACTAGACAATATTTAAAAAAAATATGAAGGGAGGAGCAACAGTGGAGGCGCAGATCTCGCATGACCTAACATCGGCGTTTGCCCTTTCACCGGAGCATAAGGCTAGTTTGAATTCTCTGAAGAAGATGAGGAGACTGTACGTAGATCTCTTTTTTTATTTTCATTTTATTTTAAATTTTACTCCTACTTTGGGTATATAAGTTTGGAACTCCTACTTTGAGTATATGACTAATGATTTACTCCTATTTGGGGGACTTATGTTGGATTTCTTGTTGTCCATCCATTCCATATTTACAATAATGTGTTACTTTGTGTGTTGAATTTTTGATTAATAATATTTCATCCGTTCCAAACTCAAAAGTATTCATTCATTTTAATTTTTTCAAATCAAATTAGATAAATTTTATTTTGTAATTATCAATAACATTAAGTTTGTATTTCATATTACTCGGTAATGCGATGTAACAAATTTTTAATACTTTTCTACAAAATATATAAGTTTAATGAAATAACTTCGTAAAAATCTAATATAATTTGTATCAAATAAATGATTAAAATTTATCTAATTTGACACTAAAAAGTCAAACTGGATAAATATTTTTAAAGAAATTAGTACTCAACATAAATGATAAAATATGGATATGAAAAAAGTACTACTTTTTAAATACAAATACTATTCTATATTTTGAATTATGATTAACTTTTGTGTATTGTTGGTCAAATTTTGACATAAAAAAACAGATATATAGGAAATACTAGTGTGGGTAATATTAAAGCAAGAAAGATATTTTCCCCCTAAGCGTGAAGTTAAATTTCTCTTTTAACTAGGAAGTTAATTATGCAAGATTTACCGACATGATGACAAAAACATGATCAGTGTTTTCATTCGTCAACTATGTTGACATCCAATTTAGTCAATTGTTTATAGAAAAGAGTGACACAGAGACACTGGTGTTTTACCTAGATGACAAAAAGTTAACTTCTTAAATATTCTAATTCTTTCCAATATTTTACAGAATAACTTTTTTTTTTAATTTCTTCCGACAATAACTTAAAATCTCTCTGATAAATGAATAAGCATTGAATGAATGCTTCATTGGGATAGAAATATGGAGTATATTACAACTTACATAGAAACATAAGTGAAATTTATACTAAATAGTAAATATATTGGACTAAAACATAAGTTATTTTCCAATTAAAACTTAAACTTTTATTCTCTAAATAGTACTTAATAATGTCTAGTGGAGGAATAATGCCTAGTAATGGAGAACATTTACTTGAATAATGACTAATGGATAGTGACCAATAGTACTATACTGAGAAATAAAAACATGAGATCCTATATTGAGAACTTAGAAGGTGAAATGAAGTATCTTTAAATTTATTTATTTGAAATGTGAAAAACACAAGTAAATAAAAATTGTCCAATTCTTGAATAATGTTATGCCATGATATAGCAAGCCAACCTTTTTTTCTCATCTCAAATAGTTGTGTTATATTATAGCAAGCTTGCTAAAAAATAAGTTTGGCTGGTTAAATATAACAAGTTCTCTAAAATATAGCAAGCTAGGAGTTGTAAAATAGATTAGCAACTCATGGTTGGAAAATGAAGTAAAATGTTGCTTGTTTTTATCACTTTTCACTTGCTAAAACATAAAATAGCAAGCCAATATAGTAAGAGCATCTCCAACCATCTTGCTTTGGCTTGCTAAAAGCCATAATATAGCAAGTCAACTCATTTTTTTCTTCTCCAATGGGTGTGTTAAACTTTAGCAAGCTTGTCAAAATATAACTTTGGTTTGTTAAATATAACAAGCTCTTCAAATTATAGGAAGCCAAGAGTTGTAAAATGGATTAGCAAGTCATATGGTTGGAGAATGAATCAAAATATCATTTGTTATGTCACTATTCACTAGTTAAAATATAAAAATAGCAAGCCAATATAGTAAACAAGGTTGGAGATGCTCTAAGCATGGTTGGAGATGCTCTTATGCCGTATGTTATGGTGGTGTGGGGAGGACTTGATCTCCTCCTTCATGCCCCATACACGCCCAATCACCATGACGGAGTTCTGTGAGGAGGGCGTGGCTCCTTCTTTCGTATGGATCCTCCCATTTCTCTTTTTTTTTTTTTAATTTCAACCAATTAAAATTTAATACTACTCCCTCCGTCCCCCAGTTTTTGTCCACTTTTGACTTTTGGAACTGTTCATCTAAGCACTTTGACTTATCATATTCTCTCAATGTGTAAGCCTAAATATAGTCATGTGTGATCTTGTTTGATTTGTCTTAACATATAGATTATTAATATATAATTTTTATAATTTTTTAATATACTAATTACAAGATAAAATGGATTAAAGAAGTGTATTGGATGGTATGTAAAAATGAAAGTGGACAAATACTTTAGAACGAAGGGAGTAATAAATAAATACTAAATAATAATATAACTAATTAAAATATTATGATTAACTATCCGTATGGCGTTTGTGACCCCCACCCGTATGTCTTCACGATCAATGATAATAGTATAAGCCTAAAAAATTACTTTTATACATAATGTACGGAGTATTACTTTATTGTGGACTTTTATACATTTTTTAAATAGTCATTAAAATAATTAGTCATTATCTAACATTTATTGCTAATGACTATATTCGTAAAATTATTCGTATAATCAGTCATTACCTAACTATCATTTGTGAAAATTATGAACTCTGGTCTAAGATTACTACTCCCTCCGTCCCATTTTAAATTGCATGTTTGCCTTTTTTCTCCGTCCCAAAATAAGTTGTCTGTTAGTTATTTTCGTAAACTTTTAAAAATAAAATACCTAAACTACCCATAAAATAAGTCACACTTCTTCACTTTATCTTCTCATTTATCATCACCCCTCCTAAAAAGTAATTTCAATTTCGGAAAATCAACTCTATTTTTTATTTTCCTTAAATATGTCCAAAAGTCAAAACAGGCGATTTAAATTGGGACGGAGGGAGTACCTTTTAGTCCTATATGGAGTAATTTTTTTCATCTAGTTGGGTTTTTCCGCAGAACGAAGATAAAAAAAACTACTTTGTAAGAAAATTATATAATTAAAATTTATTTAAAAGAGGAAAAAAAAAAAAGAGAAACACATGTTCAATCATTTTTATGCAATTCAAAACTACCCATACTTCACATGCTCCCTATAGAACAAACGATTTCACATTTTCTTAACATATACAAATGCGACTTTCTTTTGTCTCAGATTTTATTTGAATATTGTTTAGTGGTGAGAATAGGGAGCATCATATTCCCTAGTGCATAAGAAATTTTTCCATTCATTAATTGTTAACTTTCAAAATCCAACTTAACAAGTGGTTTAGAGCTTCCATTGACCACACCAATGCATAAAAAAATCTTTCATAGCAACTAACAATGGTGAGTTCCAATGGCATTCTCATTTCAAGAAGATTGCCTCTTCTCCAAATGCCTGATATTCTCCACCATTTTCACCACTTCCACCATTTTCGGCCGCTGATTCGGCGTCCTCGCCACGCACGACAGCGCGATCCGCAGCATCTCCACCATTTCCTCCTCTATCCCCGGGACCCGCAAGAGCTGCACATCGAACACCTCCGCGGTCCACTCCTCGCGGACCACCGAGTGGACCCACCGAACCAAATGGACGATTTCGTCCCCGGCGGTCGCGTGCACGGGGGACTTCCCGGTGAGGAGCTCGAGCAAGAGCACCCCGAAGCTGTAGACGTCCGAAGGGTGCGTTGGCTTGCGGGTGTCGGACATTTCCGGGGCCCGGTACCCGGCAGCGCGGGCCACGGGTGGGCCCAACGGGGTCGTTATGGACGACAGGCCCACGTCGGATATGCACCCGTAGTGCTTCGAGTTGAGGAAGATGTTTGTGGACTTTATGTTCCCATGGGCTAGCAGCAGCTTTGGGCCAGCCTCGGCATGAACTCGGGCCACGCCCCGCGCTGCCCCTACGGCTATCCGTAACCGCGTGTCCCAATCCAAAGATGGCCTACTTTCTCCCATTTTACCTGCACAGTTAAAGGGGTTTCAAAGTGTGAAGTTGATTTTTAGATGTCCAAAAATGGAAAGTGTAAAGATCATTGGAGGAGGTGAGGAGTAGATAGATAATATGGGTTGAAGGCAAGTGACAAAAGCAAAGATGGCAATGAATAATGTGAATAGAATGCAGACAAACATAAACTTATTTATCTAAACAGAGAAATCCTATCTGTCCCAGCAAATATGCCCTTCAATTATCTTTCTTTATAGTGCTGCACTGCCAGATAGCTATCCAAAACAAAATGTCAAATAATTAAGTAGAATTGGTTAGGCCCTCCTATGACCTATCCTCTTTTTTGGGGTTTTTTAAATACTAATGGTTGGACTTTAATGCACTGATTGGTCAGATTTGACATGCTTGTCCTACGGGATAAAACACACATTGTTTGGTTTGGGTCCTAATCTCTTCCATATCCTAATGAAATGAGCATTTTAGCCCCTAATCTCTTGCTTTATTTTACTAAAGCCCTTCTATTTTTTGAATCTACCCCTTATTTTTACCCTATGACATTGGATCTCATAACAGAAAGAATGAGTAAATCATGCAAGAACCATACCATGCAGCATCTCAGCAACACTTCCCTGGCTGAAGTAGTCACAAACAATGAGCTTTTCTTCTTTGGAATAGTAATAAGCCCTGACCTCAACCACATTCTCATGTTTAATGCTTCCCACAGCCTCCATCAGTTGCTCGAAATCCTTCTTCCCGACGCCCACGTCCTTCAGCCTCTTCACCACAACCGTGATCGCGTCCTCCAGTATTGCCTTGTAGGTCATTCCAAATGTGCCCTTCCCTAGGACCTCAGCAGAAGCTCTCAAAAGGTCCTCCACATCAAACACATAATTGCTGCCCTCAAAGAATATCAACCCGTTGTTCGCATCTTGAGTCCGCGAAACTGCCTTCTCAGGGGACATGTCTACCTTCTCCAACTTCCCCAAGAACGCTTCCTCGTATTGTCGCTTGCGACAACAGACAAGAAACAGGAAACCAAATCCCAGCAGCACAAGAACACTAACAGAAACTGAAATCCCAATGACTGCCCTCTCCCCCAATTTCCCAGCTTTCTTGGATTCGGGAGCGTATGTTGGTTGTTGAGGGAGAGGAATAGTTGGAGTTGGAGAGGCATAATCATTAAACAGAGAAACATTGTTTCCCACAAACACAGTCCTAGGAAACCTTCTTAGTGATTTGGGCACTATACCAGTGAGATTATTGTAGGAAAAATTCAAGAATTGCAGATTAGGCAAATTGAAATCTGGGATTTCTCCTGAAATTGAGTTGTTTGCAAGATTCAAAGAGGTGAGCATACTCAAACCAGACAACGAAACGGGGACGGTGCCATTGAACCTATTGTTAGACATATCAACAACTGAGAGGTTCTTCCAAACTGAGAAATCAGCAGGCAAAGGGCCAGAGAAATTGTTGAACTGCAAATAAAGATATGACAAGTTCTTCAAGTTTCCAAAATCAAGAGGGAAGGTCCCAGAAATACCGTTGGATCTGAGGCTCAAAATCTCCAAAGCTGATAAACGGCTGAGAGTGTTGGGAGGAATTGGGCCATTCAACCCAACCCCAGGCAGCCTCAATGCAATAACTCTAGACCCATCTTCATTGCACCCAACTCCAGTCCAGTTCATGCAAACCGAGAGCTTCTCATTCCAGTTCAGAGATCTGCAATGGCGGACATTGTGGGCGAAGTCAAGCAACGCCCACTTATCATTATCAACCAGACTGAAAGCTCCTGGAGCAGCTAGAAGAATTCCCAGCAACAAAGTGAGAAAGACAACGTTTTTCCGCTTCATTTGAAGTTTCTTTGTGGGAAAAAATACAATCTTGAGCTCGAAATCTGTGCGGTCGAATAAAGGTGCAATTTTGAACTTCCAAGAGGGGTTTTTTTGTTCTGGTTAAGAAGGATTAGCCGGGAGGTTCTTAAAGAATGGGGTTAATGAGAGAAAGGGAAGCTCAGAGAGAGTTTGAATTGAAATTTAAGATGGGAAACTTTTGGATGGGATGCTGGGGGGAGCTTCTTTTTGTTGTTTGCTCTTTCTTGTTTTTTCACTTTTCGCACTATTGCAAAATCCAAGAACACACTGTAAACATACTCACACCAAGATTGGGGAAAAGAACATGAAAATGTTTAGGAAAAAATTTCGTTTAGTCCTATAGATTTTTAGTTCAGTCAAAAGTGTGGGATAGTTGTGATGATAAGAATCAGGTCAATTCATGTAAAAAAATTTGTGTCAATATTATTATTAAGTAATTTATTGGACACTTTAAGTTACGAGTAAAATAATGAATATACTTTTGGGTTAAACCACATTAAAAGATTGAATCCAATCGATTAATTAGTTCAACTCTAGAGCTTATATACCGATGTGGGATGCACTCTAACAGAGAAATATCTCACTCTTTGAAATCATTTTATTTACAAATTCGTATATCGATAAGAAATAAAAATTACATATTAAAAAATTACGTCAAAAGTTTTACAAAACAAGAGGTGTATTTTATTCCATCAAATATTTAATGAAATCCTGTAAACAAACAAAAGTTATCGAGAGGAGAGAAAAAAAATTATAATCAAATTAGGGACGGAGGAAGTATTTAATTTGGGTGTGGATCAAAGAATACCAGATGCACTAAAGAAAACTCGATGACAAAAGAAAAATCTAGTGGTTAGAGTCTCATCCATGTCTCGAGCCCAATCTTAGTTTTAGATCAAGCTAATGGTCTCCAACTTTCTATGGCCTTGTGGTCGGCTAGCATGATGTTTGGCTTGCTTGTAAAAGATATTCAATAAACATATATATCTCTGTCCTAATCTTTTTATCTTGTTCGATTTTTTGTAGTAAAAAAATGATTTAATAAAATATATCTTGTAAAATATTCTTTAAAAATTATTTTATTTTATTAATATACAATGTAAACAAAGTATTTATTTATTGATGACCAAAGCTCATCCATTAAGGTTGTGCGGTACGCATGCAGACTTCCCCATCCCCACTTCCAACTCACGATACCTCAACTTTTCCATTTCATCCTCATTCACTGGTCTGGAGCCTTATTCTATCCTTATTCTACTTAATTTAAAAAATTACGTAAAATGAAAGTTACAAAAGTACAATAAAATATTATATTAAATAATACTAAATTGTAAATGAGTCAATAACGCTAAAAAATATTACATTAAACAGAGTTGATGCATAAAAAGTTAAAAAAGCATAATGAAATTAAAAAAGGTACAATAAAATATTCAAACGTGCGATAAAATTTACATGCCCCCGCCATAGTATTCACCCCATTTAGTGTCGGGCACGTATTCTAGCAGTATTTCGTAGATCGTATTTTTCGATGTAATAATTTTTTTCTTTCAGAATGCATGTTGACAAAAACTGTGTGGTCCAGCAGTAACAGTGACTTTCCGATATATGGGAGGTCACAAATTGGAATCCTAGTCTAGAACTCTATGTGAATTAATAGCTTGAGAATGTATGAACAAATACGATATTATAATAGAATTGTTAGGGGTAAAAAATAAAAAATTAGAATGAATGTTAAAAATAAATGTTTTTTATGGTTTTTTGTCGTTTCACAATCACTGTTTTTAAGCGCACTTACCCTGAATCTTTGTGCATTTTTAAGTTGTGAAATTTGTACTAAATACTCCGTAGTAAGGAACATATGTTCTTTCTCAAAGTAATACTTAATTTTTTTATTCTCTAAATAGTATTTGAATAATGTCTTTAGACATGAACAATGTCTAGTGATACTAGACATTTAGTTTGAATAATATCCAGTAACTGTGTACATTTCCTTGAACAATGGTCAGTGGATATTGAGCATGGGTACTACATTATGAAAATAAAAATACAAGGTATTACATTGAGAAAATTACTATATTTTAATATTTATTTAGGTAAATTCCCTTTTTTAGTTACTTTTATCAAAACACAATTCAAACTATTTTTGATTTTGGATTCACAAGTGAGAGGGAGTTTAAATTAAAATTAAATTGATACATTCAACATTGATATCATATAAACTATTAGACTATCTACAATGGTGATTGGATGGATGGATTCCAAGTGAATTTAAAAAAGGGAAAAAAATATGATCACATATGTGTTGCAGATAAAAAATAAAAAATAGAACAAAACAATAAAAAGTTGCTCGTTGATGTATTACATTTTTTCCGTCCAAATAGCGCCACTACCCGTCGTGGTTTGCAAAAAAAGTATCAATAGCCCCTCTGTTTTCAAGACTTATTTTTAAATTTCTCGTGCTTTCAAAATGTTGCACCCGTGCACCTTCTGATCATTTTTCAGCAATTTTTCCGATGAAAAGGGGAATATTGGTGCATATTTTCTAAACCATAGGCGGTGGTATCAGTGCTGATTTTTATTCCTCACTTATTTTTTGTTTTTTCCATTTTTTCCTTTATTTGTATCATTTATTAATAAAGGTTTTTTAAATTATTTTTATAATTTTCTTAAAATTTAAAGTTATTTTTGTTTGAAAAATTAACATATAATGCATATGTATGTCTCAAATTAACAATTTTTATTTTTTCTGAAAAAAGTAATTTTTTTTGAGAACTTCAAAGAAATGAGGAATAAAATACTCCCTCCGTTCTCAAAAACACTTCCTCTTTCATTTTTTCTACTTCCAACAAAACACTTCCCCTTTCTATTAAAAAACCACTTTTACCCTTACTTTTTCACATCATACTTTTTCTCTAATAATCTATCCATCACATCTTACTTTTACCCATCACATCAAGGGCAAAATTGAAAATCAACTATAATTTAACACTTCTTTATTTTTGCCCCCAAATCAAATGGGAAGTGTTTTTTCAAACGGAGGGAGTAAGAAACAGAATAATACGGAGTACAAAAAAATAAATATCCTTTTTGGACATCTCAATTCTAAGGACTTTTTTAGGCGTGTCCAAATTTGTTTTTTTGTATAAGACTTATTTTTGCGTATTTTAAATTTTTCATTTCGTTTTTTCTATATTTTTATTTTTTTATTCTGGGTTTTATTTTTGAACTTTTAAAATAATTATCTAAGTAACCAAAAGTAAAAATATTTAATTTGATATAGATGTAATGCGTGTTAATTGTTTTTTTTTATTTTTATTTCGAACACAAAGAATTTTAAAATTGTTATGATATGATAAAAAAATTGAAAATAAATTTTAAAAAAAAATATAGGAAAAGGAAAAAGAGATAGAAAATATTCTTTTATAAAAGGAAAATACAAATAATAAACGAAAAATAAGAAATGAGCACGAATATCCCCTATGATTTAGAAACTATGTGCCAATGCCTCCTCTTCGCCGGAAAATGGCCAAAAAATGATCAGAGAGGGTGTGGTTGCAATGTTTTGAAATTACGGAGACTTTAGAAATAAGTTTTGAAAATAAAAAGCTATTGGTGCCAATTTTGGTAAGCTATTGCTTACCAAACTGAACATATATTTGAACAACCTAATCGATATCGACAAATCAGAGTGGCGCAGCGGAAGCGTGGTGGGCCCATAACCCACAGGTCCCAGGATCGAAACCTGGCTCTGATAGGCCTCTTTTTTTCTTTACCTGATGAGTTCACTTCTCCACGCTCTCGATAGTACACTTTATTAATTTGTTCCCTCTGTTTTTGTTTTCCCAACCCACCATTTTGAGTTCACATACAAATGATACAATTAATCTATCTTGCTCTTAAAATTCCTTGTTATATTACTTTTGCCTTCATATCCAATCAATTTTCCAGTCTTCCCATTCCAAATTCATTAAAAACCTAGGATCGAGACATGAAATGATTGCTCGCGAACGGAGATTTTTTTTTCATCACCTTAAAAAAACATTATTGTCTGAAATTGTGGGGATAACATATAAAAAGAAATCCCCATTTTTCAGCCATACAATTTGCATATACATATATAGTTACACAAACTTGAGAGAGTTGGTTAATTTACATAGTAGGCGTAACGGCTAACTCCACGCGACTTGTCCATTCCTCCCCTGGCTTCAATGTGATTGGCTTCTCTACTGCTGCTCCATTCACACACACCATCTGTTTGTACTCTTCATCTCCCAAATCAACTATGGCTCTTGCCTTTTTCACCCATGGATTCCAAACAACTGCGCTCGCAAAACAAATGGTTATCATTCGTTAGCTCAAAATTCGGCTTTTTATTTTGGGAATCCTTCTTACGAATGGGGCACGGTTAGTTTAATCTGAAAATACTCGTTTTCTTGTGACGTGTAGTTTCCCAGAGAGTATGACTCAAATAAGAGTTTTGGAGGTTTTTTTTTTACCGACATCGGGCAGCCCTTCCTTCCTAATGTGGAATGTCCGCTTCTTCTTGTGATCAAAGACAGAAATCACGTCTGAAGAACTCAGATAAACTCGCTCCACCTGTATAAATTAACATTTTGAGTGGGAAGTTAAGAGTTTAGTCCTCATCTGCAGGCATATATCTTCAAGAACATTGAATAATGACTCCTACTAATTGTTGAGTTCTTGTCCACATTAACATAATACTCTTTCCCATCCAAATTATTTCTTGTTTAGGGAATTCCCTGGCTTGTTCTTTTATAATTTCCCCCCCAGATTTACCATATTTACTCTTACCTCAGACTCAAAAGTCAATGCATCACCCTGCTCCGTGAAGCGTTCTTTTTTGTGGAGGTTGTCAAGATAATCGAGGGTCTCTACGCCTTCCACTCTTACTTCACTGTAACATAAAAAAAATACGACATCTGGCACAGTTTAAGGTACAACTTGATAAAGATGCTATTTTTAACTTTTTAAGTTAAACTATTTAACTTGTTACTACCTGATATCAGACACTGAAAGGTAGGAGAGATAAGCAAATGAGAAACTAAAGGGTTTGCAGTTGACATTCCTCACACGCGATATCAAAACCAGCGAACCCTCAACCGTCACAGCAACTCTAAGGCGAAATTCAAATCTACGAAAAGATGAAATGGATTACACCACTGCTGAATTGCACTTCAAGAGTCTCATAAAGGCGACATATTGTCTTGCAACTGTAATTGTGTGAGCAAAGGAGTGATTTTTTTTAAGCGTACAACGTACCCATGAGGCCAAACTTTAAGATCATCCTTAGAAGGTTTGAATAGCAAGTCAATGAATGTCTTGCCATTGGAATCATTGGATTGTAGAGGTGGAGGATTAGTATCATCAATGACCCACATCCTGTTTCTGGCAAAGCCATGGTCCTCGAGGGAACCGCAGTTCCCAAACTGAATAACACAAACATTAGATTGCACATATCAGTCGGTGTCTGATGCTTACTCCACGCCCCTCAAATCCGTGTAAATAGAAAATGAAGCATGCCTGTGGGAAGCAAATAGGGATTCCACCTCTAACGGCTTTTGGTGGCTTACAAATTGCCTGTTTTGTGAGATGATAGCAATAAGATGGACATATGTATATACAATACAGTAATAATAAGGATTACTCAATCATGAGCGGCTACCAGCATCACAAGAAAAACCCATAGATGGAAGGCAATTGATTGGCCAGGCATAGCTCACCTTGCTACTGGTGAATAATAATTCTTCACCATGGCCAGTCTTCCATGAAAGGACTTGTCCTCCATGAAGGCTTACCTGTACAGAGAAAGTAACAATAACAGCAACCTTGTTGAGCAAGAACATCATAAATATATCATATCGAAAATATGCATCACTCGTTCTTAATCTTAAGGCTAGGAAACAACTAACCCGAACAGACGCTCCTCTGGAATTCCGAAGCAGAACTTGACCAAATCCATTCTTATCCTTGGTAACTTCAACTCTTCCTTTCAGGTCCACCTCCACTGCAGAATGATCCATTTCAACAAGGCAAAATATGTACGAATGTGAAGAACTAAGCTTTCCCTGCAGTGTGGCTTTATACTGATCATTAGCCTTCTCAGTTGACAAAAACACAAACACCTGGTGCTCGAAACCTTGAAGGCTCAGAAATCACTGCAACATTTGAGAATTGCCTTTATTAGATAAAAAAAAAGAACACTTTCCCTTCAAAAATGTCAACTTTCTTGTGAATATAACAAAATTCTCGTGAAACAAACCGAAATAATGACTACCCATCACTTCTTTCCCACCTCTAAAATTGGAGAAAGTTCAATTCCCCTTAAAGCCATATCCAATGCACTCGCCAAGAGTTTAAGGGTTTTTTACGAAACTCTAGAAGTTGGTTCTTTTTATGCATGCAAGCATGCCTGGTTTTCACGAAAATAGTCGACCCAGGTTTAGAAAGTCAAGAAGCAAGCCACAAAATCATATTTTTGAGCGAAAAGAATAATGATTGTTTTTCTGATATAGTTTCCGTGAAAGAGAGAATGAGCAAAGATAAACGAAATCCAATCAACACAAATTTGATGCATATAATATATATACATGTAACACGACTCCGTGGCCTTATGAATTTGGAGAGAGAAGTTACGTCTTCCTTTTTGGTACAGTGATTAATCATTACTCACAAGTCACAAACACCCGCGGCGAGACGAGTGTTTGTGTGGAGGGAGAGGGCATTGGCAGGTGTCCCTAACTTTTTAAAAGGAAGGAAATATTGATTTCGCCCAAGGATTGATCGTTACTTCCTCCGTCCAGAAAGAATGTCACGGTTACTATTCTGGCCTCTTGATAACTTTTGTTTGTTTACTCGTTTTGGTTGACCATTTGATAAAATAAAATATTCTTGTCGCATCTTGTTTTGTAGAACTTTTCATAAACTTTTGAATGATGTAATTTTTACTTTTTATTACTCTACCAATTTGATATTAAAGTGATTTTAAAAGAGATGATATTTTGCACGTTGTTCGAAGTGTTGCAAATAAATTAGGACGGAGGGAGTATAATTTTAGGCTAAGGTGTAAAACTTATTTTCTGTGTTCTTCATACACACTTCATCAAGTTATAACGGTTGAGGATAGTCGGAGAAATCATTGTGTATACGTTAAAAGACATCCGAGAAATTCTTTGGTAAATGGTCAAGCATAGCCTTCAAATCCTTGAGGAAAGGTTGAAGATAGCCTTCAAATATTTGTTTTAAATGCTTAAAATTAGCTAGTGAAATCTCAGGGTAAATCATATTGGCAAGGGTTGTTTAGCAAATCTAGTACGATGCTTTCACGAAGTTCAAAAGGCCAATACTTAGTAGATTCGAAAATCCTTAAGGAAGAGCTATAAAGTGCTGGAGTAAATATTTTCCAAACCAGTATAAGTTGACGTGTTCTTATTTTACTCTTTTTTATTTATGCTTTATTTTTATCCATAATTTAGGAACATAATTTAGTGTCATGTAAATTAATAAATAAAAAATTATATTATTTATATTAAAAAATGGAAGAAAACATAATAATGAGTGTGAATGAAAAAAATAGTGACATGAGAAAAAATACAAAATAAAAAACTGAAATAATTTATAAACTATAGTTATGAATATAATACTAATAATTACTGTAATAATAGGAAAAATACATCATTTTTAGAGTCATTGTTTAGAAGTAGAAAGAGTTTGAAAAAATAGAAATAGTTAGAAAAAAAGATGAAATCAAAAGAAACTAAAAAAACTAGAAGTTAATTGTTTAAAAGAGTAGCCACGTCGTTAGGCGGGAGGTGAGAACACCACCCCTCTGGCACGGGGAGCGAGACGGATGGGACGGTCATGCTGTACTTCCCGTTCCATTTTTGCTAATCCTTCCGTTTTCATTTTTATTACAATTTTATTTTTGTCTCTTTCCTCTCGATAAATTTTCCTTATTTGTGTGTTTTCATTGATTATTTGATAAAAATAAAATATTCTTATCACCTTTGGACGTAATTTTTTAATATCTAATTTTTATTTCTTATTGATTTACCAATTTGTAAATAAATGATTTCAAAAATCGTAGAATTTTACATCGTAATTTTTATTTTGTAATCAAAATAGGGACGGAGAGTATTTTTCTATTTTTTGATGCTTCTTCATTTGTTTATTTTTTTTCTTTGTTTCTTTTTCATGTTTATTTTTATTCTTCAATTTTTTATTTTTTACATTTGTAATTTTTTATATTTTATTATACTTTTTTTGTTTTTAAGTTTTTTTAATCTCCTCTTTAATTTTTTCAGCTTTTAAATTTTGTACTATTTAGTTGTATTTTATATTTTTAGTTTAATTAATTTAAATTTAATTAAGTGTTAAAAAAGCAAAGAAAAGGGAAAGAGAAGGAAAATCACACCCAAAAAAGGGAAACGAAAGGGAAGTAAAAGAAAAAGGTGATGTGAGAAACCTAGACATATCTAATAAGTAACAATTATTTTAGAAAAAAATTACTTTGTAAGTTAACAGAAATGTTAAAAAGCCCAAAAATTACTAATGTTAGAAAAACCAAAAAAAGTGAAAATTCAAAAAAAAAATTGTGCTTTTATTTTTATTTTATGCTATTTATAATTTATGTGAGTTTACTTATGTAATTTTAGTAAAATGTACCACTGTGCATTGGAACGAAGAAATAAAAAGAAAAAAAAGGAAAAAAATAAAAAAGAAGGTGAAAAAAATAAAAAATTATAAATTTTTAGTAAATATACTTATTCTAGTTTATGAAGTTTGTGTATTAACTTTTTATAATGTTCTATAAATTTAATAAGTAAAAGTACTTTGTAATATTTAATTTTGTAAAACTTTTGTAATGGTTGTTCATATTTAATAATTTATAAATAAATTTGATTAAAAAATGTATATATAGTACGTGCAGTCATATACTCCCTCCGTCCCACAAAAAAGTTCTCATTTTGAATAGTATTTAGTCAAATATTTACACACTTTGACTACAAATTGTGAGAAAGGTATATCGAATTATAAAATAAATTTAATATAATTGGATTCATCTATGTATCTAGTTTTGATATCTCAAATTTTTTTAGCATTTTTTATTTAGATTATATTTAGTTTATGGTCAAAGCGTGTAACTGACCAAAAATATATCAAAATGGGAACTTTTTTTTTTGGGACGGAGGAAGTATTAGATAATTGATTTAACATAAATAAATTTAATAGAAAAAAATAGTGGAATGCTTATGTGGCAATTGTGAGAGAGTTTAAAGATAGAGATAGTTTTTCAAAAAGTCTGCAGAATATATAAAATATTACTCTTGGATTCTCCTTTTCACGCTAATACTTTAACAAATTGAAATTTTTTACATCAGTAGGAGGGAAACTATTTTCTCTAGCTCTCTCCTACACACTCTTTACTCTCAAGTAGGAGAAAAAAAAATTAAAATGTGAGTAAAACATTAAAAACATATCAAAATAGGTGTTGCATGTTTTTATTCTCGAAATAGAAATTTAAAAACGGATACATTGTGAATCATGACCACATACATTACCAAAAAGTATTGCGAAATGTCAATATACAGACTATACAGTGTCACATTATCACACTACAAACTCTTATTTTGGAAATAAAAACATATTGGTGCTATTTTGATATTTTTTTTATATTTTACTTCAATTTAGATAGGTTTCTTTACTCTCAATCTCTCTCTAGATTTATAAGTTCAAAAGCTTCATGAATGACTTATAAGCCAATAATTCCAAGATGATGTGCTATGTACACCCCCAATCTTGATAAAAAAACCCTCTTGGGCAAGTTACTATGGAAAAAGATTTGTGCATGATTTTCTTCTTATATGGGTTTCCACATAAAAACTAAAAGTTTGTTCTCTTCAACTGAGTTGATTGAATTTGATCTGATTCAAATAACTTATGATTTAGTCTCAACTGATCTGGTCTGATCTGATCTAAAAATAGTTATATTTAAAAAGTATTTATGATCTAATTTGATTGTAGTTATATTTAAAGTTATTTCTGATCTAATTTGATCTGGTCTGACATGATTCGAATAAGATCTAGTTGAAAAGAACAAGCCCTAACTTGTTCATATTTTTGGTGATAAATGATGTCCTAAAAAACAAACTGAGAAATAGGTTATTAGATCGATGAAGTACATTGCTAAATGGCAAATTCTTCTCTACTCCTAAAGTCCACACACATTTTATAAACCTTGATATATAAATATCATGGATGAATTTGGCTCATTGAAAAAAATAAAAAATCATCATGTCGACCCATAAAAAGTGTGAAATGATCTACATTTCACATGTGGACTTTAAGATCATGAAAACACAGCTCTTGTTAAAAATATACTGGAGTATATGAAATATTTGCAAAAATAGATATTTTTGTTATTTTAACACAATAATTTGAAATAATTTTAAATTATCAATACAAAATTCTAATAAATCAAGAAAGAAATTTAAATTTGAGATCTAGAAATTATGATCCAGAACTTGGAGTCTGATAAGTGATAACATAAGCATGAAGAATGGAATTTAGATAAGGAGTTTATTGTACTAACACCCCACGTGGTTTGGTAAATGTGCACTGTTACTGCACATGATTTCAAAACTTATGTCGTTACCCTCATTGTTATGATAACGCTACGTCAATGTCTCTCTGGACAAAAATATCCTTCAAATATTACGTAAATAACTGCGTTGCCTCATATAGTTTTAGAAATGGACACCAACACTCCCTCTCCCTTGTCTTTATTGTTTTTCTTTTTTTCCTTTTTTCATAAAGAGAAAAAAATGTTTGTATCTGAACTAATGAAAAATTGTTTTTTCAAACCTAAACTTTTAAAAAAGTTTTGAAAAATAAAAATGTTTGTGTCTGAAATAAAAAATTTAACATATACTTCATTTCTTAAATTAAATATTTTTTTGCCTAAAATAGTTTTTATCTTTTTTAATATGTCAGGGCCAAAAGGATACTGAGTAGCGTCTTTTTAATATACAGTTAACAACATTTTTAGACCAATGCACAAAAGATTTCCTTCATGACTTAATTTTCCATATCTTATAAAAGTATTTTTTCATATACTTTTCTTTTTCTTTATTTTCTTTTCTATTCTTTTTTATTTTATTTTAATTTTGATTAGAATAAAAGAAACAGTATAAAATTAATGAACAAAAAATGAGAAATGAGCCTTAGTGAAAAAAGAATATTTTATTAATTTTCGTATAATGAAAATGAACCAATAAAGACCTCTTTTGGATAAAAAAAATAAAAATATTTAATTTGAGACAAATGAAGTGTACGTAAAATCTTGTTATTTAATTGATTTTTATTGCAAACTCAAAAAAAATTGACTATTAAAACATTATAAAAAATAATTTTAAAAAAGAAATTAAAAAATATTTATGAAAAAAATAGTAGAAAAAAGAAAAACAATAAAGAAAAGAGAATATTTGTGCCAATTTCCAAAACCATAATGGGCCGTGGAGCTATTCACATAATATTTGAAAGATATTTTAGTCTAGAGGGGCATTGACGTAGCAATATCAAAGCCATGAGGGGTAACGACGTAAGTTTTGAAACCATAGGAGGTAACATCGCACATTTACCAAACCACAAAGGGTAACATCGCGCATTTACCAAACCACAGAGGTCATGGTGCAATAAACTCTTTAGATAAGTACTCAAAGTATAATCTTTAAACTAGCAATGCCTAAATAATCATGAGTTAAAAAATTTCGGTCAAGATGAAAATGCTATAGTGTATCTTTGGTGGACGAGAAGATCACACTATTGCACTACTTTTTGTGAAGATAAGAATGTCTATCAAGATACTAGTATTTGTTTATCACTCTAATATAACGATCTGTCTAATATGATAAGACCTTTGATCCACATTAAAGGGATCATAGTTTGCTAATATGCCACTTAAAGTGATCCTTTCGATAATTGACAATAAATGATTTTTACTCCAAAATATAAAAAGTAGACAAGTGAAAACTCAAACATATTCCCATAAAACAGATCAAGGACATATTAGGAAAGTAAAGATAATTGTAAATGTATTTGATCATTTGATTGCTTCAAAACTTATAAGTGTGTGATGGAGTAATATTTCCACCCTAAAACACTGATGCAGATCATATGAAGAAACCTGAACAGTTAGTTCCCTATCTAAGAACTGTGAGATGTTGTTACGACTTGCAATGCAGTTCGTGTGGGGTGTTGGGGTGGGGGGAGGGTTGGGGGTAGGGATCCACCATGCCGGTGAGAGAGGGTGTGGTCATCATCTAAATAGATTTGCAAGAATTTCTGGGTTCAGCTTCTGGAGAAATGAAAACTGACCTACTTGTTTAGCCACGAGCCCAATCACGCGATCCATGTACAGCACATAAAGCCCACTCCTGCATTCCATTAGCTCCAGCACCTTACGTGCTTCCAGAACCGACACTATCCATTCTTCAAAACGCCCTGTAAAAAGGTCGTACAGCATAACCCACTAAGGGAAAAAGCACACAAACTATCTACTCCAAAAAAAAGTGGCAGTGTCAAGTAAAAGCTAGCACGTGATATGTAGTTCTAGGGAGCACAAGAAGGGTTTTGATTATATAGCCATTGATCTGCAGTGGGTACACGTGGTGTCACGTTATATAAATTTTAAAATTTGCGATGGTATTACTTCATTATTTAAGCCAATAAGTAAACTGAGATTGACATGAATTATTCACAATCTGTAACCTATTAGCGTTAGATGCGGATCAAAATGGAGAAGGAGAATCAAATACTACTCCAATGATTAACATGTTGAGATCTGAGAATGAAAATTAAATGTGATGACTTGAATGGAAAAGTATGAAAGCGCACTTGTGTCAAACTCTTCACTGCCTGACCAGGTTAGTAGGTAATCTGACACCAGAAACTCAATAAGCTGGATCCTGCAATCCATGGCATGCCAAACAACAAACAAACAACAACAACCCAGTTAAATCCCACAAGAGTAGGGTCTGGGGAGGGTGTGTGTACGCAGACCTTGCCCCTACTCGAAAGTAGAGAGGCTGTTTCCAAAGAGACCCCCGGCTCAACGTCGAAAGTTGCACAACAATGAAAATATGTTCCACATTTCATTTACAATTTTAAAATCAAACTTAACAGTTTTCTAAGAAATTGAGCCTACACCTCAAGTGACTGAAAGATTGAGTCTACACCATGGATATGAAACTTCGAAACTACAAATGTCATTTTCTTAGAAATTGCATAGCATAGGTAGGTAGGTAAGTGGGACTACCTCATTTGGATCAAGGTGAGAGATGATGGAGGTAGAGGTAAGGGGAGGTAGGAAATACCCCCGCACAATGCAAGATACTTCTCTTCTGATATAGTGGTAATCTAAGGTGAAGATTAGCGCTGGCCCTATTCCCCTACTTTTGTTCGTCTTTATCATCTCACAAGAAAGTAACATACACATAGAAGATTTATAACAGAAAAGTGTACACTGCCCAATGATGATAAGAAATAGGACACTTACATCAGGTAAATAGAGTGGTGCATATTTAGAAATGCATCATGAAATGGATCCATAAGGAGCAACCCTTCAGCAACTAAAGAAATTCTCTGAGAAGCAGAAAGGAGTATACACTGCCCAATGAAACAGTCACTTCCAAGTTTGCGCATTAAATGCTGAATGTAGAACCTTACATCAGTGTCAGCTTGATGTTCTGAATTGTTATCAAAAAGAGCAAAACATAATCTGAAAAGTATCATATTTGAAAACAAATAAATTTCTGAAGCTTCATGTAATTTTTCTGTAAAATTTACTAATTAGAGTAATTACTTTACGAAGTCAATGCTTCAGGCCTCTACAAGCAGGAGATTAAACAAATCAATGAAGATCCTCACATGAAGTACGGACTACATAATTCACTTCACAATTCTAGAATGCTCTTATGATCAGGATCTAATCAGAGTTCATCGACTCTGCATACCATAGTCAACTTAGGAAAATTGCAAAATTAAACATTTTAAACAAGGTTAACAAGCCCGAGAAATTATATTTTTGTGTAGATATTTAATGTCACCAGTCACAGGGATAGATGCTACAGAGCTTTTAGGCATTTAGGCTTTGGTTGTCTGTGAAAACAAGTCGTGTGAGATAATTTCTGTGGAAAATGTTCTTTTTTTTAAAATAAGTTCTATTTTATAAATAACCCAAAAAAAAGAAAAACTATGTAAATATAATAACTTCTCTGCTAAAAGAAGGTTAGAGGAAGCTATCGGCCACATACTTACAAAGAAAATGGAAAATATTTTCCACTTCCATGCAAGAGAACCCAGAAAAATAATTATATACGTGGTATATTTTTCTACTACACAAATGGTCCCTTAGTGAATGTTTGGTAGGCTTATAAATTAGGGTTATAAGCTTTATCCAGAAAATTTGCTACATAACACTAAATATGTGACTGTTTTGATAGAACTCGCTATTAGAAAAAAAAAATTGATCCAAAATTAACTTTTTAGGTTTGAAAGTAGAAAACTGACACATTCATCCTCATCTTGTAGGTAACATTTCCTTTATTCAAACATAAGTCTAACATTCAACAAATTTTGGACAAAGTTTGCACTTTGGAGTTAATGATATAAGACAAACTTCCTACTTAACTCATAAAGTAACTTGTCACTTTGAATAAGACAACAATGCATATGTATATGTTATGTGGTAAAGATAAACAAAAAATACAGCCAAATGTTTACCCTCTCGTGTTGCACTGCACATACTCTGCAATAGGCAAGTAATTAAGCTGCTTAAAACACCTTCAACATGAATATTGTCTCCCACAGTTGATTTGGTCTTCACTGTGTCTTCAACCAAATAAATAAAAGTATTAAAATTAACAAGTGATCCACAATGAAACTAGAAACAATCCTGTCATAATAAGTTACATAAAACCCAAAATCTTATAGTGAAATCATTACTTCTTCATCATTAATCCCTGAGCAGTAACATTTCTTACAACGAAGATCTCAACTAATAAACCAAGAGCTAGATATCATTTCAGATCTTGTCATATTTGGAATTTGATCGCAAGATAAATTCGTTATCATTTAACATAATAGACTTTAAAAAGCACTTCAAGTATTGTGGAAGCAAGTCATATTAAGCCGTAATGGTGCATAATATCAAAAGGATGTGCAATACCAAGAATAAATCCCACTGCTTGGTGAGACCAGTTTTTAAATTTGCATTCATCCAGCTGCAAACAATAATGAAAGAAAAGCAAAAAAAAGTATGAACATAGGGGAGAAAAATGAAAAAACCATGCACTGCAAAGTACTTGGATATTGGAAAAAAGCAGGCAAACTAAGGCAAACAACATACTCTGGCCTGAGAAAGAGCATAACATGTGTCCACTAGAAAATCAACTGAAGCTCGTAGTTTCTCAACTTCACTGTTATTACTATATTCTGCAGTTACAAAAAATCATCCAAGGTGTAGATATTAACGTCTGAACAACATATTCTCTCGTGATGAAAATCTTAATTTATCTCCAAGTTTGAACTACAACGTTTCTGTGAAATTACTGTCAAATAATCTAGGAATTTACACTAATAACATCATCTTTGAAATCACATTAGGGATTGAGGACCTTTTGACTGAAAAAAAACTTTATTCTGCCATCAATACTAGCATCAGAGTCAGCATGCACACACACACACACACAACTTATACCGGAAAAAAGTTACACACAGTTGCAAACAGCAGTTACAGCACATTTACATTATACATCCGCCTGAATTTTCACCTGATACATATTCTTGTCCTTTTGAGCCATCTGGTAATTTTCTCTTTCTCTCATTTATTCTAACTGTACACATCAAAACCACTCAAACGTTACCTAAAGAAAAGTCAAGGCAAAACTAAAATTGTTTGAGAGAAAAATGAAGACTTATATGAAAACAATACCTTGTCTGAGAAAACTACGGTACAAGACATCATTGAATCTGTGATCACAATCATCTCCAGCTCTAATAGAACTGAATTGGCCCAAATTATCAAAGAAGTAGCACTTGCACAATGCATTATGCGGAAATAAATCCTGCTGCATGCCTTCTATGACCCCAACCCAAAATAAATGCAGAGTAAATAAAAGAAACTTAAGATGTTATAAATATCAGGAAACAATACAAATTATGAATTACTTTACTGATTCAAGTAGAAGTTGATAGTAAGATCAAACCCATCTCTTAAATGTGTGTGTGTGTTTGAGAGAGACCTGAGATTTTAATGTCTTCTTTGAGTCTGGCAATTTCTAGCTTGCGTTCCTTTGCCTAAAGCACATCTGAAGGATTTAGATTCTCTTATCTGCTTACTTTCACTGAGATCAAGAAGGTAAAAACAAACCTTCAGCTTCCATTTGAGAGCATCTTTTGATAGAGGATCAAATGATGACAGCGACAGTGGCCGAGGTTGGTTGGTGTGTGTAAGCTTTGATCGAACAAGCGCCATAGCGATAGCCATTTTCAGCGACTCATTGTCCCCCAAATTTTTTGGTGACTTCTCTGCCATCTCCATCACTAGGTGAAGCTAGAAACTGCCACGGGATTCGAGAGACCATCAAACTAAATTTCTTACACTTATATGTTATGTTCACACCACGTAGAAATTAATTACTCATTAAAACAGTTGTTTGCTTAGTAAATAAAAATGAGTGCTAATTATGCACGCAACCATTGTGCATTATAAAGGATTTAAATATTCACTAATTATAAATTAGTTACTCATGAATTTAAAATGGAGGTGAAGTACTTTCATTATTACGAGTGTAGGATAGATATTTTTGCTAAACCAAGGGTTCTGTCCTGTAGGATCCTATTCCATTAAGGATTTCAAGATTTGTGGTGTCATCCTGAACCAATTTAGAATGTAGTAAGACTGAGACAATAAAAATTTTTATCCACATTTATTTTTTGTCACATTTATAAAATTAGTATGCTCAAATGTTGTTTTTAATGTTTGCACATGCTGTTAGTATACTCTGTTTGCGAATTTATTAGGATGTTTGTATAAAGCTCCCTGTTTTTTATGGTTTACATCTTAAAAAATTCTATGTTTGCATTCTGTAAAATTTTCAACGACTTTCTGACATATGAATTGTCTCGATCCCAAACCAAATGGAAGAAAGGACAACATCGAATTTCAGACCATTTCAACTTAAATCTTGAACCATCCCAACTTCTGTCTACCCCAAACCTCATAAAAAAGACAACATTATCCCAGTGCCTCAAAAGATCTCGCCCATTGCGGGGTAAGGGAGGTCAAATGTACGCAGTCTGACCCTTATGTTTAAAACATAGAGTGGTTGTTCCCAGATGACCCGTGATGAGTGTCAAAAGTTGCATTGACTAACTGCTACAGACTGTTAAAAGAAGCACAGACAGTTTGAAGAGCCATTTTACTTTACTCCATCATACCCAAAGCCAAAAGATAGTGAACCCTTGGCTCCTTCGGAAATGATTGGAAACCAATACTTCAATAAAACAGTACATATTTGGCTAAAAAATACTACTCTGTATGAGATTTTATACCGTAATAATTTATCAGAATTGGCAACAAAAAGTTCCATATCTGGAGGATCGCCCTCCGTCTATCAAAAGAGGAAAGGGTATAAAAATTTAAAAAATACAAAAAAACTAAACTGAAATGGATTTGTTTACCTTTTTAACATGTTGTCCATTATGATGTTTGTTAACTTTTATTAAGGTTTGAGTGTTCTTCTTTCTTCGCTCCAGACGTTTCAACTCCACACCTAAGACAAATTTCATTAAAATATACTACACTTAAGATTTTCTTAAAATGCCAATTTTGGTTATCCATTACGCAATTGTATAGAAGTCCCTGTCAGGGACATACAAGTTATAACCTTAATTATCATGCTATCACTCACAAACAGTGTAGTAGAGGCAAGCAAGAGTCATTTTCCATAAAGAGACTTTACTACTTTAAGCCAAACATGTTTCACCAAAATCCTTTTTATAAAGGCACTATTAAATAGAAGTATAGAACAGTATGGTTTATTTAAAACAAGACTCAAAATAGACCACTGGGAGTTTACAAAAACTGATTGGGCTGGGGGGCTAATGCTGAATTAAACAAAATAAGTAATTAGATAGAAAAGAAGCGTAGAGCACTAATTCAAAAGTTGATTTCTAAAGCATGATTTAATGATGGTCAAAACAGTTTAAAAGAGCGAGTAGAGAGATTGCAGGTTTTAAATGGTGGAATATAGATATCAGGGTGCTTGGTTCATGTTCAACCTCAGTGTGCGTTAGAATTTTGTTCAAACAATATCATCAACCCAATGATAGGATTGTACAAGGATAACTTCGCCCTTACCCATTTTGATACAAACAACAGCCTAATTTAAGCCTAACACTCAGATTAGACTACTACTAGACTCTATTGCTCTTCCTTAGTTCTCAAGACAAGTCCTTAAGAATAGAAAGAAGCAATGCATTAACGACAGATTAGGGATCACAGTGAATCTCATCCAATTCTCTACCCTTAGACATTTGAATGAAATTGTTTGATTATATTGGGCTTAATTAGACCTAGCTTGTTAGAACATTGTCACATTCAGCTAACCTAGAATTATTCACCACAGATTTCCTAGAATCAAAGATAAGAATTGCGTCCAGCTATTCTATTTAGTCATAGTAACTTATATTTCAGTTTAAGATCATTACCAAACACACTAAAATGATCTGATATAGCATAAATATAAATAAGTGGTCAAAAATTCCACCAAAATCACGCGCAGTTAATTGAACAAAGCATAATGCTATTACTCGCTCATATTAGGAAAACCAAACACGCAATCGGATTTCCATGCAAAGAAACATACTGCAAATCTAAAAGGAGAGTTTAATATGTTGAAAATTGATGTATGAAACCTGTATTAAACAATGCACTTGAATTACAAAAAGGAAACTGCAGAAAAGGAGTCTTAATTCGTCTCCCTCCTAACCTTCAATGTATGTTCTTTGCCAGCTATGAATCTCCTTTGCAGCTTCTGACCTTCGCCCTCTTTCTTCTCTCCGCTCTCGCTCTCTTTCTGTCTTCTCCCTTATTTTGCATTATCTACTCAATTTAATTTATGTGATAGTAATGACAAAGTTAAAAACTAAAAATTAGTTCGTGAATTATATATTTAAAAAGATAAAGAAATGGTATTTAAAATAACATTATATAATTCTGTCAATTAAATGTAATGTCATTTCTTATATAAAATAATTCATGAACTAATTTTTAGTTTTTAACTTTGTCATTATTAAAATTATATAATCATGTCATTTCCTATTTAGTATTTTATAAATAAGAAATGACATAATTATATAATTTTATTACTCCCTCCGTCCGTCTAAAATGTTCTCATTTTGACTTTTGGTGGTTTTTAAGGAGAGTTGAAAAAAGGTGAAAGTTTACCATAATACCCTTAATGAAAAATGGGTGGAGTGTATTAAATGAGGCGGGTGAGGTGTAATAAATAAAGTAAGTGAGGGTAGTTGTGGTATTTTACTTGTTAAAAAATGAAATGAGAAGATCTATTGTGGACAAAGAAAAAAGGCTATTGGGAAGATCTATGGTGGACAGAGGGAGTAATTAACTAACGCAAATAGATAAAGACAAATAATTAGAGTTTGAGTGTATGAATTATAACTAAAAAGAAAATTTTAAGATGGGCTAGTATTCTATCCTTGATCTGATTGGTTTTATTAACAATTAATTTAATTCTCTTTAGTTTAATTTGATTTTACTTATGTTTATTTTAAATTCTTATTTGGTTTAATTTTGATCGACTAAATAATAAATAAGTTTCGGAGAATAATTTCAATAAGAACGAATAATAAGAATAGGATGAAGATAATAAGCTCTTAGATTAGATGCAAAAAGACTTCTCATATGAGAATAATGTCTCGAAATTATTACAACAAACAAGAGAGAAAGACCAGATATATTGTAGTTCAACGATATTATTATGACTGTTCTAATTGAGATGTCACATGTTCAAATCTTAGGGGGTGTATTCAATTTAGATTTTAAATGATTTTGATATATTTTTTAGAATCCATGGATTTTGAAAGTTAATTGGATTGCTTAAAGTTTACACAGAGTTAATTAGATTCTAATGTATTCTATCAAAGGATTTTATAGGATTTACATTTTTCTTTTCTTTTTTTTTTTTTCTTTTTTCTTCTTTTCTTTTTCTTTTTCTTTTCTTTTTTCTCCTCCTTCCCCCAGGAACCCTAGCCGCGCCGCCCATTTCCTTCTTTCTATGTTTTCTTTCCTTTTTCTTTTTCTTTTCTTTTCTTTTTTCTCCTCCGTCTTCCTCCCGGCTTTCTTACGGCGAACAAGACGACTTCATCGGCGAAAGGACGACCTCCTCGGCGACGACGACGACCTCCTCGGCGACGATGGTGACCTCCTCGGCGATAGGATTGCAGCGGCCAACAGCACCCCGGCAGTAGAGCAGCGTGCAGAGCCGAGGAAGGCCTTCCGTCGCGGTTCCGAGCTCCGGTGACGCACAAGAACAGGCAGGGACGAGAGAAGATGAAGAACGAGAATAGGAGCAGGCAAAATCCCCGGTCTTTTGATTGGATTTGGAAATTAGATTTGTATTTATACCCAAGGCATGAAAATCCATCAAAATCCATAATTTTTAAAATTTTAAAAAATCCATCAATTTTTGAATACCATCATACTTAGAAAGATTTTTTAAAGTTTGAATTGAATACACTCATATTTTAAATGACTTTTTAAATTCTGAATTGAATACCTACGGATTTTCAGAATCCAAAAAAATCTATCAGAATCCGGATGAACACACCCCCCTTAGTACGGGCAGTAATTCTTCATATTTTAATAGATATTAACAGATACTGCATTGTAATTCTGTAAATATATGTGGTGAGATTAACCAAAATATTACAAACATTTCGAAAAAAGCCTCGGTATGATTGTAGTTAGGGGTATTTAAATAAATTTTCATATTTTAAGGTAGACAAATTTTTCCATGGACCTAAGGTACATGTTCTTTATACGGATCTTAGTATATTTGTAATATAAAAAAAGTGAGCATTTTCAAAAAAGAAAATATTTAAATGCAAGCTCATGAAAAATGTGAGAAGATCCATATTTTAAGTATGAACATTGGACCATTAAGCATGTTATTTTGGGCTACACGTTGGATAATTGATTGTTTTTTGTACTATTCTTGTTGACTTTTCATGCTAAGTAAGAAGTACCCCATCTCTTCCAAATTATTCTTGTCTATAGAGATGCATGTATTATACAGGTGTAAGTATGCACTGAGTGCGCTGTACATATATATTTTACTAGTACATACAATAAATCTTTTTAGTCCTAAACCTCTCCCACATGCAAAGTTGATGGGAGGACAATTCAAGAGGCCGACCCCGAGTTATATGAAATAGTCCTTAGGTTGTGTTTCAAGTCTAGGGGTCATACCACATACCACAGTGACTGAGTGGGCCCGAGTGGGACTAAGGGGCTACGATGTGGCTGACTGTCTCACCGAGTGCTTAGGATGATTGTCTCATCAAGTGTTGAGGAGGTGAACACAGTCGTTAATAGACGTGACTTAGTGTTGTTACTTTGATGTGATCTCGTATTTTGGGTTTTTGTGGTTGAGATTTGAGTTATTGATTGAGCCAAATACCCATTTTCTAAGGTATCCATCACTATATTTAATTCTTTATTATCAATTACGCATTTAATCCTTCTTTTATGAGCATCATTCTATAGATAGTGCTTTATTCGATTTCTGTTTTGTTGGAGTTAAATTAAAAGGTAAAAATGTAACTTTACAATGTTCATTTATCTTTTTTATCATATCCAATGTTTGATGCATCATTTGTCAATTGGAGTGACTATCTATTGTAACCATAACTACGAATGTTGTATTTGGTCGAAATCTCGATCCACAATCATAATTATAATTATCGTGTTGTTTGTCAAACCGACATCAAAAGTTCAAAAAATGAATATCTATAGAAATGTACTCATAAAACAAGAACTATGAGGTCAATATTTGATTAAAAAAGACTTAAGAGAAAATTATTAAAATGGTCCTTCGTAATAAGGTGTTTTCCCAATTCAGTACTCAATAAGTTTTAATTACCTACATGGTCCTCTATAATTGAGATTTATTTCCAAGATTGTCCTTCGTAAATAATATTTCTCAAATGATGATTAATTGGTAAATATTTTAATATTTTGATCATTCAAATTTAAAATATATTCTCGAAATAGTTATTTCCATACAACTAAATATAAAATTGAAAAAATACAATTATTTAAAACTTATAAAAAATCTTTTAAATTTCAAATCAAATACACATTTTTAATTAGAAAAAAGCATTTTGGGAAAGTACTTCATTATAAATGATCATTTTATAAATTAATTTTAAATTTAGCGGATAAAAAATACCAAAATACCCTCAATTAATCTTTATTTGAGTAACAGTATTTACAAATGAGCATTTTGGGAATAAATCTCAATTATAGAGGACTACGTAAGTAATTAAAACTTATTGAGAACTGATTTGAGAAAACATATTATTACAAAGAACTATTTTGGGAATTTACTCAAAACTTAATATAAAAAATCTGTTATTATAAAACACCAATTATAAAATTTAATTATATTCTTCACTGTACCTTTCAAATTACTCCGTTCTACTCCGTTCGTGAGTATAATACGGTTGTTGTCACTGTTACCTGACGCCTTCGTGATTACTGTCTGACCTTGGAAAAGCTTTGCGCTCAACTTTTCTGTTCGATCCAATTCCCAGATCCAATCATGAACGACGCAGATGTGTCCAAGCAGATCCAGCAGATGGTCCGATTCATCCGCCAGGAAGCGGAGGAAAAGGCCAACGAAATCTCTGTCTCCGCCGAAGAAGTGATTATTACATTCTTTTGCAATTTCGAGTTGAATTGTCTCCCGAGCTGTGTGTTTTTTCCCCTGGAGATTACCAGATCAATCGATTGAAATTATTTACATGTGTTTTATTTGCTATTACTTTTAGGAATTCAACATTGAGAAGCTGCAACTAGTGGAAGCGGAGAAGAAGAAGATCAGGCAAGAGTATGAGCGCAAAGAGAAGCAAGTTGAAGTCCGTAAGAAAATGTAATTTCACTCCGTTGCGTTTTGCTACTATTTAACTGTAACAGAAGAGTTTCTGGTTTCCATTGAGTTTGTTATATAAAGTTTCAATTTTTGTGGATACTTTTACCTAGATATAGAACTATTACTTGGTTTCATGTTGTACTTAATTTTGCAACAGCTTTAGAGCAATGGAAGATGTGGATTGATCACAGAATCAATCACGATCACCACAATACACTTTAGTTGCGAATTGCACTATATCTGGTTATGAAGAAGCATAAAGTGGCCTAAAATTGATATGTGCTGTATTTGTTATCTTTCACATGTGTATTCTTGTGATTGATGGACTTTGCAAGACCTTGTGTAGCTTGCAGGGAAATAATAACTCCACTTTTGGCTTTACATGTAGTAGCAGAAGTAGAGATCAGCCGTAGAATTGTCTGAGATAAACACAGGGGAAAAACAATCCTGCTTAAGCCCTTTGCTCGTCTATCACCTATTAAATGAGGAAAACAGATTATTAGAGGATACTTTTCATTAAACTTATAGCCATTGTCCTATAAGTACCATAATATATGTGCTATGGTGCTCCCCTTTTCATTTATTTCTTTTGTATCTACCTTCATCAGCATTTATGCATTGTTTTATAGGTTCACCATCTTCTTAAAATTTTAATTCATAAAATAGGACCTAATATTTTCTTAGTCTCACATAAATTGATTCTGAATCTTTCTACACATTATAACGAAGCATTGTGAGGCCTATAGCAGTACTGCTAATATGGAATGATGCATTCATGGCCTCTACCCTTTGAGTTTCCCTTGTGATGCATTACAAATACGCGTTTCATTATCAATATGTGAACTTTAACATACGTGTTCAGGTCCATAGAACTAATAATACCATTGTGCATTTTTTAGCAGTACAGTTGTGCATTATTCCTTGTTGAGTCGCATACTTTTGTATAAGATTGTGCAGAGTGCAGACCATTCTGTAAACTCTAATGTAGTATGCTTTATAAAAAGGCATATTACCAAAACATATTCTTGAAGTTGTGGTCTCTTCTTGCAGCGAGTACTCGATGCAGCTAAATAATTCACGTCTTAAGGTTCTTCAAGCTCAAGATGACTTGGTTAACTCTATGAAAGAGGCAGCATCAAAGGAACTCTTGAATGTGAGCCATGACCACCACGGTTATAAGAAACTGTTGCATGACCTTATTATTCAGGTAGTAAGCTATTCAGGTTAAGAAAATGCATTTATCTTGTCATGTGTTTCTCTTAGCTGTTGAATCAACTCATTGGTGGTCTTATAGTCTCAGAGATCTATGCGCGTGACAAGCACTTTTTTGTTTTTTTTTTATATTTTTATTTTCAGGATAAACTGTTTTACTCCCTCCATCCCATTTTATGTGTCATGCTTTCTTCTTAGCCTGTCCCAAAACATTGTCCACTTTCCTAGAATAAAATGTGAAACATTATGATTTTCCTGGTTTACCCTCTAAACATCCAATTAAATGCACCTTGATAACTCTTCCTTTGGTGTACCTTTTGAGTGATTTAAGGACTGAATTCTAATCACATAGGAACAATGATTACATTCCAACCACAAAAGAAAAGAGGTGAAGTGCTTGTTTGGATCCAAAAGTTCCATTCCTGAAATTTGGATTAGACATCTCATGTCAAGTGTAAACTCTTGGAAAACAATGATTGTTTTCCAAACAACCTCTCTACTTTCGAGTAGCGGTAGGGTTTGCATGCACACACCCTCCCCGGAGGCCCAGACCCTACTATAATCTCGTGGGGTTCTACTGAGTTGTTGTTTATGCATGTCAAGTGTAAACTCTCTCTCCAGATCAAAAGCGCAGGAATGAGAAGAGGATGAACTTTTGTTAGTCTCGTAAATTTCTTTAAAGTACATATGTTTCAATTCTAGGCATGGAGCATCTTGTAGGAAACATGATGAATTTACTGTTGTTCCTTCTCTCTTAATTGTTCTACTGGATATCGGGTCTCCTCAGGTCACATCTGAACCTATATGCATTTTAAGTTTCACAACCTCTTATGTTTGATTCAAAAACAGTCGTTGTAGATGCTGAAATGCATATGCTTGAATGCTTTGATACTTGAAGCACGTGATTCATATTTTTGAGGACATCAAGCCTGTTTAGCATTGCTTATTCAACAATCTATAAGCAATAAACAGTTATATGATGCTTGTACAAACTGGATTTTGGAGAAGAATTAAGCAATGAATGTGATTGGTGAGGCAATAAGTTCGAAAGCCAAACAAGTCAAAATCTTGGTTGGAGAAACAATAAGCCACAAGCATATTCCAATCACAATTCCTATCAGGGCCAATACTGAATTGGTAGTCTGAATTTCTCCGCTTTCAATTATAACTTTTAACACACTGTTTCAGAGTCTGCTCAAACTCAAAGAGCCTTCTGTTTTACTGCGTTGCCGGAAAAGTGATGTGCATCTGGTGGAACAAGTGTTGGAGTCTGCAAAGGAAGACTATGCAGAAAAGGCGAGGGTACACACACCTGAGGTCATAATTGACCACATCCACCTCCCACCTGCTCCTTCCCATCACAGTGCACATGGTCCTTCCTGGTATATTAGCTTGAACTATATTCATTCATAGGTCACCTGATGCACAATCGGTAGAAAGTCACTTGTACTATTTTAGCATCTCTCACTATTTTGCTCCCCCCCTTTTCGCACAGCTCTGGAGGAGTGGTATTGGCATCTCGTGATGGAAAAATTGTATGTGAAAACACTCTAGATGCTAGATTGGAAGTTCTTTTCCGTAAAAAACTTCCCGAGGTACTCTATCGTTGACATCTCTCCTTTTTCCCCTTCAAGTATACACTCCATACATTTTTTGCTCTCATCTCCAACATCAATTGTTGATATAATAAAAACTTAAAGAAAAAGAAATCTTTGGGCTTCATAGACTTGTCTGGTGGTTCTAGTTGTGTATATACACTTTAACTTGATCTCGTTTCTGTTAACTGCAGATCCGCAAGCTGCTCATTAGCCAAGTTTCATACTGATGTGTTGGAGGTCTTTGTGTTTGCTTTTATTTATTCCTTCATCTCCAAATTCTTGCCTCTGTTTTTTTCATTATTTTGCAGTTCTCACTACTATACCTATGTTCCGATACTAAAACTGCTACTCGTCCGCTGAAAATCTGGATTCGGACAGCGTGTGTGATTTATGTGTCATTTTTTTTATAAAGTTTGTAATAAGTGTAAATTGTGGAATCCCATGCTTGGTTGGTTAAGAATTGGATAATAAAAGTTCACTTCAGACTTTGTTGTTTTTGCAGATGACATGACTTCTTTTAATTGATTTATTTATGGTTTTGTTACCTTAACTTGCACTTTGTCCGGTTAGTGGCATTGTGATGAACACATTGGGGAAAGTAATAAATTAAACAGAATTTGTGGAAGAAATAAGCATTGGGCATGGCATCAGCATGTTTTTCATCTCAAAATGAACTTTGTATTTAAACGTCGTGAGACTAGCAATTTAGAGTCAAGAAAAAGTGTAAATTAAATAGAGGGGTTTCCAAGTTTAATTATCTTCTTCAACATTGTTGCAGAATGAACATAATATTGATTCAAAATGAACATTTATTGAATATATCTAGCTCTAAGTAGACTCTAAAGAAATGCCTTTTTGCTAATTTTTAAAGAAAGAGTATTACATTACTATTCTCTCCGTCCCATAAAAGAGCCTTCTTTCGGTTTACGATTTTTTTACTGAAGCTATTTTAATTTATTATATTTAAAAATTGGTGAAAATTTAAAAAATAAAAATTATATTTTTTAAAATTACATCAAAAATTTTACAAAAAAGATGACTTGGTTACTTTATTTTATCAAACTATCAATGTAAATGGGTAAAGAAATAAATACAATTTGACTATGAAATAATAAAAAGATGACTTGATTACTTTATTTTTTTTAAAAAAAGGTAGTATTTTGTTTTTTTGTTTAACATAAGCCCCAATCACATTTAGATAACTCTTTTGTTTATAATTTGAAAGTGTGGTAGTACATAATTATTCTTAAATAACATGAAATTAATTAATTGAAGCAATATTCCACCATCGAATCCTTCGCACATTTGAGCGCGCGTAGATTGTGTCCGCACAAAAACTTCTATGGTCCAAAGCAATTCATCCAAGAAACAGGTAAAAGTAGTTTCAAAGAAAGAAAAGAGGAAAAAAAAACAATAAAAAAAACAAAGAGAAAAATAAAAAAAGAAGGAGAAGAGAAAGAAGAAGAAAAGAAACAAGATGAAATATTGCACGTAAAGAATTGAAAGAAAAGAAATATATATAAATGAATGTGGAGAAATAATAATGTGGCTTCCGAGCACAAAAGGAAGCCCAAAGGGAAGGAGATCGGGCGGGAATGGGTTGGTGGCGGTGGCAATAGACAAAGACAAATCCAGCCAATATGCCATCAAATGGGCGACGGAGAATCTGGTGTCCAGGGGCCAAACCGTCATTCTCATCCACGTCGTCAACCATGCCGCCGCCGCCGCCAAGCACCACCATTCAGATAAACACACCAAAGATTTGTTCCTCACTTTTCATTGTTTCTGCACCCGTAAGGATGTAAGCTCAAGTTTTACATTTTTTTTATTCGTTTCACGAAAAAAGTTTTAAATTTCCACTTTTGGAAAGAAATTTGTGCTATTTAAAATTTTTATGTCTTCTGTATTAATTTCAACCACAGAAATTTACTTTTTCTTAATTTTCGTAGTAAAAGTGAAACTTTTTTTTAGATAGAGAAAGTAATTGCTCCTTCCATCCAGATTTAATCTTTCCATTAAATGTCACCCTTGTTACATTTTGATATTTAATATTAATGTTTATACATAGATTTATTTTATAAAATTTTAATATTTTAACAATAAGTTTCAAAAGGAAACTATTGATAATACATTTATATCAAAATAAAATGTACTTTTCTCAAACTTTGATCAAGAAAAAGCCAAACTTATACCTTTTATCCTAAAAATAGGAATTTGCAATGTGACATTATAGCACTATATAGTGGCACCCATTATTTTTTTGGTACTATATATTGACATTACATTTATAACAACACAGAAGAAATTTTGATATTTTAACACTACGTTTCTAAAGAAAACTATTAATATTACATTTATATCAAAACAAAATATATTCTTATCAAACTTTGATCAAAAAAAGCCAAACTAGTATTTTTAATCTTAAAAATAAGAGTTTGTACTGTGACATAGTAGCACTACATAGTCGCATCTCAGTCAACTCAGTGTACTTTTTGATGCTATATTATGACATTGTATTTCTATTTTGGAACAAAAAATATTGAACTCGTATTTTAATACTTTCTCCGTGTTTTACTCGTAGCTTAATCCTTTTCCTTTAAATCTTATCTGAATTTATGAAGTTCTAATTACAATTAGAATAAAAATAAGTTGAAAAGAAATGTTCTTATAATTTTATTTTTGAAGATAAGTAATTCTATTATAAGAGCATTAGAGAAGAAGAATATGATCATAATGAAGTAAGATTGACATGAACATGCAGATACATTGCATAGACATCGTGGTGGAAGACACCAATATAGGCAAGGCATTGGCGGAGTATGTCTCCAAAGCCGCCATTGAGAATCTGGTGCTCGGTGCTTCCCGCCACAGCTTTCTCAAGTTCAGTCCTTCCTCATCATATTCAACCCCTTCTTCTTCTTCTTCTTCTTCTTCTTCTTCTTCTTCTTCTTCTTTTTCTACTCGAATTGTTTGTTACTGATGATGGCTTTGATCCCATCCATCCATGGGAGAAATTTGCAGGAGATTGAAGGTGACGGATATCCCGACTACCACTTCAAAGGCGGCGCCGGATTTCTGCACCGTTTACGTGATTTCCAAGTCCAAAATCTCCTCCGTCAGAAACGCATCTCGTCCCGCCCCTTTCGCTTCCCCTCTCTACAACCAGATTCTTCAGATCCAGGACAACAATCCCGTTCTCCCTGACATTCGCCCCAGAAACAGTCTCAGAGGTTTGATTTTGCGGCGAATTGAGTGTTTCTTCCAGCTGTTTATGTTATTTCATCTCGCGATTCTCATGCGTGTGCAGGATTCGATGAGAAACATCTGAGATCTTTCAAGTTAGATGACAGTGAATCGGTTAGGTCATCGTTTGAGCGAGGGAGAGGTATCCCGAGGAGGGCGTTTGGGGAGGAGCCAGATACGGATCTATCATTTGTGAGCTCCGGCAGGCCGAGCAGCGATCGGATTTCGTCTGTGTTTAATGATGCGGTGGATCCTGGCCGGATCTCTCACGTTTCGTCCAGCTCTGATGGAAGCTATGGCTCCGGTCGTCTCGGAAGAGGAAATGATCCCTCTTCTTTTACTGATCTCTCTTCGTCCTCACTTGAAAACGTAAGACAAGACAATTTTTTAAGTGCTTTCAATTTCACTTGAAGTTCAGTCAATGCTTAATCGAAAGCATTTGCAGGACGATGTGGAAGCTGAGATGAGGAGGCTGAAACTCGAGTTGCAGAAGACCATGGATTTGTATAGCACTGCGTGCAAAGAGGCACTAACTGCTCAGCAAAAGGTAAGAAAACAATAAAACGGATTCGACATGCCGAGAGTACTCTGTAGTTTACATTATGATGGACTAAGAAGAGAATAAAAGGACAATGGGGTTTTTATGACTTCATATTTTAATACGGAGCACTACATTGAGTCATTAGAAAAAGAATCTTGCCCGAGTGGGTCCATTGTGTCGACTTTGAACCATTTTTAGATGGTCATTTCATGTTCGGCCAATTTCAAGTTCTAGTCACAAAATTGTTGTTCAATTTTTTTTTGAATAGAATCTCAGATAACCTGGGGTCGAGTAAATTTTTAACATGTCTAGCTTAGATAATGAGATTGATTTTTTTTTTCTCTCAAGATTGATTTGGTCATTTACATACATTACAAATATATGAATTGATTGGTGCATACAGGCAGCAGAACTCCAGCGGTGGAGGGTGGAAGAGGAAAGAAAGCTAGAGGAGGCTAGACTCATTGAGGAAGCAGAAGAAGCATCAAAAATGGCTGCACACATTGAGAAATCTAAATCTAGTCTGTCACCAGGGGGCAAAAGAGCTGAGGGTGAAAATGGAGACGGTGAGAATAGGATGGTGATGCCTTTAAGGTATAGAAGGTATAGTATTGATGACATTGAAGAAGCAACAGAGTACTTCTCAGAGTCTCGGAAGATTGGGGAAGGAGGGTATGGCCCTGTGTTTAAATGTTACCTTGATCATACTGTGGTAGCTGTAAAGGTTCTACGCCCTGATGCAGCCCAAGGAAGAGCACAGTTTCAACAAGAGGTATGTGTACCAGACAAGAGGTATTGTGCTAGATGTCAATTGTCATTAGGTTGTGCACTTGTGCATATATCTATAAGCAAGTAAGCCACTTATTTTTAAACCATGACATGTACATACAAAATTATCTTCCGAACTTTTTTTTAAAAAACTAATTGAATAAAATTTTAATTAAAACAAGTACGTACAGTAACTTTTATGAGCACACAATCAGTTTAGAGTTTGTCTTAGAAATGCATTCTTAGTTGTGTATGCTTAAAGTTAGCTTTAAAGATGGCCTTGCAAAGTGAAGAGTTAATGTGGTGTTGGTTGTGACAAATTAAAGGTTGAGGTGCTGAGTTGCATGAGACATCCAAACATGGTCCTACTTCTTGGAGCCTGCCCAGAATATGGATGTCTGGTGTACGAATACATGGCTAATGGAAGCTTAGAAGACCGACTAATGAGGCGAGGCAACAGACCGGCATTGTCATGGCAAGTCAGGTTTAGGATAGCTGCAGAGATTGGCACTGGACTATTGTTTCTCCACCAAACCAAACCCGAACCCATTGTCCACCGCGACCTCAAACCGGCTAACATCTTGTTGGATCAGTACTACGTCAGCAAGATTGGTGATGTCGGGTTGTCAAGACTGGTCCCACCCTCTGTGGCCGAAGGCGTGACACAATTGCGAATGACATCAGCAGCTGGGACATTTTGCTACATTGATCCTGAATACCAACAGACAGGAATGCTTGGGGTGAAGTCGGATGTTTACTCCTTTGGGATAGTGCTTCTCCAGCTGTTGACAGGTAAGCCGGCAATGGGAATATCTCATGTGGTTGGACGGGCCATTGAGAATGGAACATTCGCTGAAATGTTGGATACTGTTGTGGTCGATTGGCCATTTGAAGAGGCGCTGGTGATGGCCAAATTGGCTCTCCAATGCGCGGAGCTCAGGAGAAAGGACAGACCGGATTTGGGGAAAGAGGTCATGCCAGAGCTTCGTAGGTTGAGAGAATTAGCAGATGAGAGTATAAGTCAGTTCTTGCTTAATGGCTGTGCAGTGTCCTCTCCCAGTCACAGTCAAGCTTCTATGACACAAGTAAGCCACTTGTTTTGTAACAAATTAGTTTGGGTCATCTACACTGCCCCCAAACTTGTTCCCTTCACGCAGACACGGTTTCACATATAAGAGTCTTGTGTGTGAAACCGTATGCCTATGTGAAGGTGAGAGCAAACTTGTGGGCAACTTGTCATCGTCCAATTATTTATTTAGTCTCAGTTATTTAGTGCTAGCTTCGGGCTGTGCTACAATGCCCCCAAGTATGCCCCAACCTTACCCCCACTTATTTCTTTATACAGAAACACACATACATGACTTCACATGCACAATAGTGTTCGTGAGCTGATGTCTGTGCACAACCAAGTATAGTTTTTCTGCAAAGGTTAACGATTTGGACTAAAGTTGCTATAGTCACATATCTCTAAAAAAATAGTGTTAGAAATCTAGGAAACATTTTTGGCAAAACCAAGCCTCTTAGAAAGTTGTGCTGTGATGATTTGCAGGAAGTATTGAGCAATTCACAAGTACACTCAGAAATCAACAATCCAATGAGTATATCAAACTCATCAATGTCAACAGATTATCAATCAGGTACATATCAAGAAGCATATTGGTTAACAATTTACACATTCAGCTTGGATTTAGTCGCCCTCTTTTCTTTTTTAGTATCTCCAAAATCAATTGACCACTTATCATATTTAGTACTCCGTAAATAAATAATTTGAAATTATGAAAAAAACACTCCTCCATAGAGAGCATATTACGAGTAGTATTTATTTAGTTATCCAAAGTCTAAACGTCATTCCTTAAAGGCGAGGCATTTTGAAAACGGACAACCATTTTTGGACGGGGGTGTAACACAAAATGCAGAACAATTTTCTTTATATGCCCTATATGTGCCATAATTTATGTTGTTCTTGACATGCAGGGCCAGCTCAATGATTCAAATCCAGCACATACATCTTAGATCTATTTTGTATTGTACAGAAGTGACCTGAAGATGGCCAAGCTAGAATAGCATTGACCATTTGACAAAATGTTTTTCTGAAGAATGATGATCTGAGTAGATAGATTATAGACACTTCTGCAATAGTAGAGGAGGAAATATAACACTAACTTTTCACTTGTACAGTTGTTTGTAAGTACACATAGTAGCCAAGGTCTAAATGAGTGTAACATAGGATTAACATTTGGAGCATTGTAACATTATTTTTGTTTTTTTTTTGAAGCAATGGGACATTTGAGGCAAGTATTACACTAGTTTTCTTTGACTCTCTAACTGAAAGTTTTTGTAACGCACGAAGTACTCCCATGGTTCTCTAATAACTTTCATGGTTAGACTTCTCAGAATCTATGAAAACACATTGAAAGGTAAGTGCGAAATTTATTTTGGGACAAACGAAAAAAAAAATATGGAATTTATTTTGAGACGGAGGAAGTATAATTTAACAAGTAGTTTGTGAAATGTTTTGAATTTCATTCATGCATATAGTTTGTGGATGATTTTATTTTAAAGAAGTTTGTGAATGGTATTAATTGGGAAAAAATCTTTATTTCTTAAATGTTGATTCATTATTTTTGTTCTTTGCATTCATGATCTTTTAAATTTGTACGCAGTTTTTTTAAAAAAAGTTTTGTTTTTTTATACAAAATTGCTTTCATTTCAATAGTTGAATTATGAATGTTTGATTTTTTTGAAATAATTTTAGTGTGATACGACATCATATTGTTTTTTTAAATTAAAAGGTATTAAATAATTTAAAATTTATCACGTACGAATACGGTGTCGCTTTTACTCCGTATTTTAATAAAGAATTCCTATTCCTAGTCTCCCGCAGTATATATCGTACAATCGATTGGATGATTTTCTCATACATTTACAACGTGTATTCTTTTCCGAGCAACAAAATATTCATTTTCAAATAACTCAATAAACATTTTTTGCTAAAATTTAGTTGCTATTAAAAATAAATATTCAATTATTCGGATATGTAGATTCAATTAATATAATGGGGATGCATGGTAAAGGTGAGTCCCCTACATAATTCATCGGCCAAAGCAAGAAGGCAACAACGGCTCTTGGTTTTGGTTTGGGGTTGGGTGGCTTTTCCCCAATTCATCCCCTCGTCGAGTCCGCCATCTACACACATACCTAACCTCCTCCTCTTCCTCTTCCCCATATACTCACTCTCTCATTTCTTCTTCTTCTTCTTCACTCCGTTGCCAAAACCTCTTTCCCCCGATCTTGATTTTCCGGCACCTGAACACCCATTTCGTCCCAATGGAAGGAGGAGCCGCCGCCGCTCAAGCTCTATCCCGCATTGGACTTGCGGGTCTCGCCGTCATGGGCCAGAACTTGGCCTTAAACGTCGCCGACAAGGGATTCCCCATCTCCGTCTACAATCGGACCACCTCCAAGATCGACGAGACCGTGGAGCGCGCCAGGCGGGAGGGCCAGCTTCCTCTGTTCGGCCAGTACAATCCCCGCGATTTCGTGCTTTCGATTCAGAAGCCCAGATCCGTTATTATCCTCGTCAAGGCCGGCGCCCCCGTCGATCAGACCATCGACGCCTTGTCGGAGCACATGGAACCCGGCGACACCATCATCGACGGCGGCAACGAGTGGTACGAGAACACGGAGCGTCGCATCTCGGAGGCATCCGCTAAGGGTCTGCTCTATTTAGGGATGGGCGTTTCTGGCGGCGAGGATGGAGCTCGGAACGGCCCTTCCCTCATGCCCGGCGGCTCCCACCAGGCTTACCTCAATGTTCGCGACATCCTGGAGAAGGTCGCTGCCCAGGTGGAGGATGGGCCGTGCGTCACTTACATAGGCGAGGGCGGGTCTGGTAATTTCGTGAAAATGGTCCACAATGGGATCGAATATGGCGACATGCAGCTCATCTCTGAGGCCTATGATGTCCTGAAGAACGTTGGTGGACTGTCCAACCCTGAATTGGCTGACATTTTCGCAGAGTGGAACAGAGGAGAGCTGGAAAGCTTCTTGATTGAAATCACTGCAGACATTTTCAATGTAAGAGACGAAGAAGAGACCGGAAACAAGGGGGAGTTGGTAGATAAGATCTTGGATAAGACAGGAATGAAGGGGACTGGGAAATGGACAGTCCAGCAAGCAGCTGAGCTCTCCATTGCAGCTCCGACCATAGCTGCCTCACTGGACAGCAGATACATGAGTGGTTTGAAGGAGGAGAGGCAAAACGCCGCAGAGATCTTCAAGAAAGAAGGGCTGGAAGAAGGTTTCAGTTCACCCATAAGTGGTGTTGATAAGAAGCGACTGATCGATGATGTGAGGCAGGCACTGTATGCTTCAAAGATTTGCAGCTATGCCCAGGGAATGAATCTGCTGAGGGCAAAGAGTGTTGAGAAGGGATGGGGTTTGAATCTAGGCGAGCTAGCTCGGATATGGAAAGGAGGGTGCATCATCAGAGCTGTTTTCTTGGACAGAATCAAGAAGGCGTACCAGAGGAATCCCAGTTTGGCAAACCTGCTGGTGGACCCAGAGTTTGCGAGGGAAATGGTGGCGAGGCAGGGTGGGTGGAGGAGAGTGGTGGGATTGGCCATCCAAAATGGGATTAGTGTTCCAGGGATGTCAGCTAGCCTCCAGTATTTCGACACTTATAGGCGTTCTAGGCTTCCTGCGAACCTAGTTCAGGCTCAAAGGGACTACTTTGGGGCACATACCTATGAGAGGGTCGACAAGGAAGGGGCGTTCCACACTGAGTGGTCTAAGCTTGCTAGGAAGGCTAGGATTTGATGGAAACGGATGCCAATTCATATCGTTCGGTGATGTTCACTTTGCCCTTTTTTTTTTAATCATTGCTTGCACTACATCAATGTGTTGTTACAGAAACTCTCTTGAACCTAGGCATTTCTTTTCGAGAAGCTTTATTTATTCCTTAGTTTTTGTCCTTTGATTTTTGCAGTGAATAAGATGCGTTTATGCCCTTTTGATATGAGTGATATATATGGTTTGTTTCTCTTTATATGACTGAACTAATTATTAAGTAATTCTGGAATCAGACCACTTGTTATTGCACTTAAAGTGACATTGTTTTCTTATGAAGATCTGTCATAACCATTCTAAGGCCAATGAGTGTCTTTTTTGGGATCAGAACATTCTTTGGCTTTCATTTTGGAAACAGTCTCTCTACTTTCGAGTAGGGGTGAGGTCTGTGTACACGCAATCTCCCCACACTCTCCCCAGACCCTACTCGGACCCTACTCTTGTGGGATTCAATTGGACTGTTGTTGCTGTAATGCTGGCTTTCATATAAACACCTTTGACCTTGTTTTTAGCTTTCATTTCATGAACCACATTTTGTTTCCATTAGACCCCTCATGCTAAGCTCTGCCCTTTCTGCTTCAGCTCAGCACAGAAAAAAAACTAACAAGTCATTCTAATAGTTTCCATTCACAAGACCTAAGTCCTCATCCGAAACAGGTTCCCACAGCCAGAACTTGACTTCCTTACACTGAATGTGTGAGTCTCTTTAGATTTGCTAAAAAAGTTATCCTCTGGCTTTGCCCTTGCTGCAAATTCAATCTCTCGACCAAGAAGGGCATGACTGACTCATTCTCTCTCTGCCCTATAAAGAGCCCGAAATGTCGGCATAAACTCTGTTGATCCCTCCAGCATCAGGCTGGAAAAGATCGCCTCGATTCCTGCAAATGGCAGTTTGAACACCTCTTCTTGGCACCTAACAAGAATTCACATCAAATTAGCAAAAAAAGGTACAAGAAACGAAGTGAATAGGAAACAATGGGGATGAAGCATTAAAAACCCTAAAATCCACTATATATGTATGTATGTATGTATGTATGTATGTATGTATGTATGTATGTATGTATGTATGTATGTATGTATGTATGTATGTATGTATGTATGTATGTATGTATGTATGTATGTATGTATGTATGTATGTATGTATGTATGTATGTATGTATGTATGTATGTATGTATGTATGTATGTATGTATGTATGTA